ACCAGTTTATGTGTAACTTCTGTCCCTAGCTCAGAATTTCAAGGCACATAAACCAGTTTCAAACTGGAAAAAACAGTTTAAGATAGATCTGGATGAATGTAGAAACTTAACTGATATACTTAACAGTTCACTTCATTATCGGTTCATCTATGCAGCTTAGAGAAGCCTGCAGACATTGAATCAATTCAACCTCTGGCTTTTAGACTGTCTGCACTTACCCAAGAAGGTCAGTTTCCCATATTATTGGAGTAACTACTGATAATGAAGACAATTTGCTTACTTTATGCTTAATCACATCAGTTCATTTTTTGCTTCAATAGAAAGATATATTAAACAGCAAGGATGATTTGACTAAATATTTTGTGATTTTATTTCAATTTTTAAAATACTAAGAATGATCAATTATATATTTGTATACTGAAAGGAAGTTAAAGTTAATTTTCTTTTGCTAGGACAGGGGTTTTCAACTGGGGGTATGCGTGCCCATGGGGACACTTTGGAAGGCCCCAGGGAGTATGCGGTAGCGGCGCAGAGAAGCCGACAGCACTTCCGGTTTTGCTGATGTGTGCAGGACCCTTCCCTCCTCCCTCTCCCCCCCAGTCGACCAGCTGCCAGAGCACTCCCCGCTTCTCAACCAGCCGCTGGGGGTACCCCGACCAAAAAAGGTTGAAAACCGCTGTGCTAGGGTAATAAGAATCCCATCAAACTGATCAAGTCTCGGAATATTAAAAAAAATATATCCACAATTTTGATAATCCCAAATTTTGCTTACGCTGTCACAAATATCATTATATCCCATTGGAAACATTCTTTTGCTGTACGTATTGCATTGTAAATTAATTTAAGAAAAGAAAAATACAATCATAAGGGCTTTTATAATGGATACTATTACCAATATTCTTGCTAATACTTGCATAATAATGATAAATCTTTACTGATATTTAAAGTATTTTATTATAGACAAAAATGCCTAAAAAAGAAACAGTCACTTTTCAAAAGGATGGCTATAACTGAGAGGCCAAAGAAAAAAAGAAGAAAAAAAGAAAAAAGAGAAAAAAAAATAGTTAAAAATTCTGTTAACAAATTTTCAGGTTATTCATTGCAAAAAAAGTTGAAAAAAAAAGAGTTGACAATATGTCAACACAGAAAAGGATTTTTTATTTTTTTAAAGCATATTAGCTATTTACAATCATCAGAAAATGGTAATGTGTGACTTTCTGTAGGTTAAACTTCTCTATTGATAAAATTAACTTAATAATTTAATGCAAGAACATGCACGAGTAAGTATATTACTCATCCTAATCTTCAGAGTTGTATTAAGATTAGAGACAAATCAATATTATCTTAGTGACCACTGCAGTTCACATAAGTAGTTATGAGGAAACAACAATTTTTGCTACGTACATTTCTTAGTAACCTTTAAGAAAAATCTAAGAAACAATATAAAAACAAAATTAACAAATATGCTTAGTATTTCTAATGAAAAGACAGTGATCCTCAGTAGACAGTATTTCTAATGAAAAGACAGAGATCCTCAACCAGAGTCCTACAACAACATGAGGTGCCTTGAGATCTGTTAGAGGGTACCACAGGATGCCCAGGTGCCCTCTTTCTTTTGGGCAGCATGGTCTGGGTTATCTTTGAGAGGATGCAAAATCCTACAGAAGATATCATGAACCCGTCTGAGATTTTGGTACATGGGCCTAAGGGCACCAATGATTTCAGAGAAAGATATTTTCACTCCTTAAGGCTAGGGACAGAAGTTGCACATAAACTGGTTTAAGTGATCAGAAACTGGTTTAAACCTGTAACAGAACATAATGTTAGTGCACATAAACCAGTTTCAAAATGGCCAAAACCATTTTGAGATTAACCTGGTTGAATGTAGTATCAGACTTAACCAACTGAGGTCAAACTGTTTATGGAACTTGTGTCCCAGACCCCCTCCTGGTTTAAGTTAAATCAGAGTCCCACAGCATCCCAGCATGCTCTGCAGCCCTAGGCTGAGCTGGGCACTGCTGTCTGTTCCAGCCAAGTACGGTTGGCCCCGTCCCTCTTCTCCCTAGCTGAAGCACCATTACTGCTTTGGCTGGCTGAGAAAGGGGTGGGGGTGGGAAACCCTGCTCTGGAGTGCTGCTGGGTCTGCATGGCAAGGGAGGGGCAGGGGGGCAGCACAGGCACTGATAGGCTCCATTCGTGCACCCAGGGCTGCAGCAGCCAGATGCCAGTAGCCTAAGGGGAAGGGGGGGAATTTAATCTCCCCATTGCAGGCAGCGTGGGCACAGACATGGCACCTTGGGCTGAGTCCCTCTGAGAAGCAGCCCACCAGCTGTGGGGAGGGGATGGGGAGGAGGGCTGTGACCTGGCTGCAGAGGGGGAACTGGGGCTAGTTTTGGAGCCTGACTCACTGCTGCCTCCTGCTGCGGCAACGTGGCCTGGGCTGGGGCAGGGGTCAGTGCTTGCCAGCTCCCGCCTCCAGCCCCGCATGGGAGCTGCAGCTTGCAGGTGGGCTGAAGCTGCAGCATGGTTCCCCGCTCTCCTGCCTTTTCCAGTGGCAGTGGAAGAGCAAGTTATCAGGCAGCCAGAGGCTATCACCTGCTGCCTGCTCACAGCAGGTTACTGCAGACCTGTCCCTGCCTACACCCCTGGGCAATGGGGCCATGCTGGACTGGGCTGCACTCCTGGGTGACAGGGCTGGGCCAGACCAGGCTGTGGTGGTCCATTACCTCCCCCTGCCACTGCCTATGCCCTTGGCCTGCAGCAGACTACCCTGAGTGCCCAGCACTGTCGCAAGCAGATGGCAGGTGCATCACCTCTGCCTGCTGAGGAGAGGCATGGGCCCAGGGAGCCATGCTGCAGCTGCAACCTGCCTGCAAACCATGGCCCCTTTGTGAGGCTGGAGGTGGGAGACGGCAGGTGCTGATCCCTGGCCCCTGGGGCCGCCCCAGCCCAGGCCGTGCTCCCGTAGTGGGAGAGAACAGTGAGTCAGGCTCCGTAACTAGCCCCAGCTCCCTCCCCCAGCAGCCAGGTCACCCCCCCCCTCCCCTTTCCTGCAGCTCACTGGCTATAGCTTGGAGGGACTCGGCCCAGGGCACCGTGTTGGTGTCTGCGCCGCTGCTGCCTGCAATGGGGTGTTTAAAACTTCTTCCCCTTCCCATCAGGCTACTGGCATCTGGCTCCCATGGTCCCAAGTGCAGGAGCAGAGCCTACCGGTGCCCATGCCACTCCCCCATGCACTGTGGGGATTAAACCCCCACTTTCCCTTATGCGACTGGGATCTGGCCCTGCCCCCACTCCTGCTGCCAGCCTGGGGCCCCCGGGACTCTTGATGGGGGCTGATTCTTCCCTCCCCTTCCAGGCAGACCCTGGCTGGGGTCCCTGCAGGCTAGGGCAGGGTTTTAAATCTCTCCCACTCATACTCAGACCTGCTCAGGCCTGGCCACACCCCTTCCCTCAGCTTAGTTTCCCTCCAGCCGGGGGCTACTCTAGTACCCCCCCCACCCCCCCCAGCTTCTGGCCTGAGCCCCTGCAGGCATGTGCCTGCATTTCCAGAGTCAAAAGTGAACGTCTATTGACTTGCAAATTGGTTCAATCTATGCAGGTTAGACTAACCTGCAAAGACTGAATCAATTCAGGCTCCGGCTTTCTGAATGTCTGTTCCTAGCCTAAAAGTGCATTAGCAGGTCTACATATCAAGTTTATCTGAGCTAATCAGGGCAAAGAGTATTAAATCTGATGGGCAGCCTCTTTTAAGACCTTCAGTGTGAACAAAAAGGGAGGAAATATGTAAATCAGAGAAATTCTCTCTGCATGGTCAACATGTGGCCTGAGATACCACTGTAGGGCTCAGTACCAGCTGCCAAAAAAGAAATTATTTGACACTGAACTTCATTGAGAACAAGTCTCCAAAATTATTTTAAATCCTTCATTTTTACTGTTTATTTCTTTTATCAGAAAACAAACAAACCACGACTAACTATAAATGTATGTGCCAGCAGGGCTTGTGAAACTGTAATCAGATAATTTATTTTAAATATTTTCATGAACTTGAAAAAAACACTGACATTTTGAATGAAAATTACTAAACTAAAACAAATGAATGGGATTAACTTTAATTAGGGATACTTCAGGTTTAATGAAAAGTGGATTTAGATGATTAATACAGAATGAACTGACCTAAAACACAAACTGGTACCACTGAGGAACAGCATATAGGTTAAGAAAATTAAGAAAACTATAACGGTATAAGGAAAATAGCAAACCGTGTTTAAGATGTAAATGTTCCAGTCAATGGAAGAATGAAATATGAATTAACCAAATTCTTGAAGGTATACACTGATACTTTTGCTCTACAACATTGAGAACATTTGAATTTTCCTACAAGTATTTTATATTAATACTATTCTCTTTCTGCAAGAAAGATTGACTGGAAAAATCTTAGAAATGTATTTCTTTGAGATAAAAACAAAAAACATAAGATATTTCAGGGGATTTTCCTCCTCTCTTCCTCCACTATCACCTCAGTGCTCAGAAGTCAGTTACCTATTTTTGAAAAATGTTCCACACAAACCAATAAATCGTCAGATATTACAGTAGCAATACTTTATGTAATATAATGAAACATATTGTTTTCAAAAGAAATAAGAAAAAATTGAATATTTGGACTGCCACATATTTTACTAAGCTCTATCTTCTTAAATATTCTGAGTTACCTTTGTTATTAAAAGTTTTAGAATTATAGGTTCCAGGAGTGTTGGTAAGATATTGCTTCCCTTGGCAGCATTTCCCAACATTATGAAGAAATGCAAAAGTTTAATTGTTAATAGTTATATGGCTCGTCCCAAGGGCCTTCTCTGTTTCAGTTTGGAATTTGCAATTTCCAAGCACAGTTTAACCAAAAGCAATGGATGAACCAAAAGTAATGCCAAAAAATTGAAGTCAACTACTTTATCGTAGTAAAAGATTAGTTTCAACATTAAAAACAGATGTTCAAAACTTACTGTCTTCTTCCTTTTGTCCTGTTCTGTAGGAGGTTCCTCATCTTCTGTTACTTTGGGTTCTTCAAAATGAGACATCAACATACAGCTAAGAAGAAGAACAAGAGATGACTTAAATACACACTATCAATTAAAAGGTTTTACATTACTACCCGGGGGTGGGGGGGAAATCTCACTAGGTATTCAAGATTATGGGAAAAAATATGATTAAACTATTTACAAATGAGCATTGCTTCTGAACATCAGGCCTTATCAAAAGGGTAATAACAGAGAAAATAGAAGAGTCTATATTACTTACAATATTTGATACTTTATTGCAAACCCATTCTCCTGTGAGAGAAGCATTTGAAATTACCAGCCAGGCTAGATAACTAGTTTTCAGCTGAAATGAGTTGATCCAGATAAACTATATTAAGATTTATTCCCAAATCATATAAAGTGATGCCCCTTTTTGGTTTGTACCTTTGTTACACTAAACAGACAAATTCAGAGTTCACTATGGTTATAAAAAGAAACTGACAACCGTTCATGTATCCAATTCCCCTAACATGGGTGCACAACCAAATGAGACCCGTGGAGCCATTGCATCTTCCAAATTTCTAAACCCTAAGCACTGCAAGACTGATCAGAGCCAGGTCACGTCCCCCTTTCCCCATGGAGCCAGGTTGGGACCAGATCATGCCCCCTTCCCCACGCAGGGCCAGATGAATCCACTTGTCTCCCTGCCCCTCTCCTTGTGGTTGCATGGTGGCTGCGTGCTAGCCCCAGGCTTTGTATTGAAACCACCATCTGGCCTGCCATCAGACTGGGCACTGCCCAGCTTGCTCGTCAGGCAAAAAAGTTCAGCACCACCGCCCTAATACATTAGAGCTTTAGAAGTAAAATGTTCAGATGCTTAGTGCTTGGTTCTGATCAACAAGAACAGCACTATTTATAAGGCTGCAGAATAAATCTATGACTAAATGATGCTTATGAGCAGAGGTGTCTCCACCTTCATGCTCCATTGTGCTTTGTGGTAATTTGATGGAGTTTATTCTTCATTGGAGTGATATATACAAAACTTCAATGAGAAGAGAGATCCCACAGGACTTGGGCAAATGTCAACAACTATCCTGTGTGTTGCCATCTGGGAGCCTATCAGCCTAGAAGTCCACCTGATGGGGAGACAGGAAGGTTGTTTACAGTTCCTTCCAGAACAGCAACACAATCTGAGTGGCTCAGTTTCTCTAAAATGTTGTCCCTTTTTCACTTCAATCCTGTTTAGCAAATCAGTGAGAGTATTGATTTTTCTATCTACTGGAGGCAGTAAGCCTCTTAACCTGAGATTACCATAAAAAGTTCTGTATTGTCTCTCTATTTATCCACTCCATATGTCTACCTACGTATCTGAACTGGCAAAAAGGATTAAAAAGAGAAAGAAAGCCTTACACCAGGGGTTTTCAACCTTTTATGGTTGGTGTAGCCCCAGCAGCCAGTGGAGGAGCGGGGAGTCCCCCGGCAGCCGATCAATGAGCGGGGGAGGGGAGGTCCTCCAGCAGCTGTCCCCCCGCAGCGAAACCATAAGTGCTAGCAGTGCACGGTGGTGCTGGCGAAAACAAAAGCACCAGTGGCACAGGGCAGTGCAAAGTGTTGGCAGCCCTACCCCCTGCTTCTCCATCACGTGCCCCCGAAGGCCTTCTCAAGTACCCCCCAGGGGTACGTGTACCCCCAGTTGACAGCCCCTGCCTTACATCATCTATACACATCATTAACAATTACATTTAATTAAAAGAAGTTAGGGCCCAAGCAATTTCTCCCCCTTTTGTAGGTCACATTTCATTAGCCTGCTTCAAAACCAGGCTTCTAAGCCATGTTAAAAAGCAGTGTCTAAACAAAAATTATAGAACCCAAGGGCTCTCCTTATTTTAAATTTATAAGCAACCAGGGAATCTTTGTACCTTAGCTTTGTAAACACAGGTTGCAAAAGTATAGCTTTAGATCTCCGAGTTGTTTAATTGAGGATACAAAATGAGTTGCTGGAGAGGAAAAAACTCCTGTCCTTGAGAGTCAAAACAGGTTATTCTTTTCCCAGATTTTTTTTTAACGATTAAAGCACCTGAGGAAGGCAATTATGGACAGACTCCTAACCAGTAACAAACATGCCGACAAGAAAACACACACAAATCTGTAGTACACTATATAAAGAAGTAGGTAGCAGCATGATGAAGCAGCTTTAACTATTTAGAAATTCTGTAGTTTGCAGTCAAAATCACTTTTGAAATTATACAAAATGAAAGGGCAGAGATCTTTACAAGTTTTAACTGCACAGCTCCTCACTTGAATCAGTGGAACAGAATCATATTTAATTCATACTTCCATGATGGTTTGGACAACTTACAAAAAAATTCAATACTCACTTGGAAAGCAAAAAGAACAGCAAATAAACTTGCTTCTCTACAAAAACAAACTGTCTTTAATTCAGGACAATACATCTCTCAAAAGCAGAGCACACAACACATTCAATGAAACTGAAAAGAAATATACTTAAATCTGATAAGAGAAAATATTCCTTTTATACCATTAATAACTAGTTTGTTCTCAATGACATCTTATGACAATGAATTATATACAAGTATCAGTGGATTCAAAAGAGATTCAATATTTATATATAAAATAGAAACATTCACACTTATACTGTGTAGCATAAAAATATCTCTAATATACAATGGATATAAGCCCTCTTCCTTCAGGGTATAAACTGATTACTAAGACAAGGGGTAAGAAATTCAGAAGCTGCTTCCAATAATAGGAAGTTTATTTCAAATGTATCCATTAATGTAAGTTTTTTGCTTCATCCTCTGAAACAGGTTGTACTATTCACAGCCACGTACACAGACTGTATCTTACAATTTCCAGGCAAAGGTTTCATTTAATATTTTAGTGGGATTTTAGTGATTACCACCTTCTGAGAAATGTGCACTTGTGAACCATGTACTTAAAAATAATCTTGCATTAAAAATAGGAATTTATTCATGACTCAGTTCCCATGGATAACTTCCATTTGCATTAATCAAAAACTACAATAAAAATCTGAAAGAGGACAGATCACAAATTAGGTATCTTTTCAAAATGCTACACAAAGATTTAATAAGGTCACTCCTAGTAAATTTCCTGAGAGTTACACTGGGAAATCTTCACAAATTCTGAACATTTTCCCATATTTTGCATCTAGTTTTCATACTGTTGCTGGCCTAAGCCTACTTCAGATATTCAAATACCTCGTATTCTGACACCTATACTGCCAAGAAAATATGCAAAAGCACTTTATATATGTTTCTAGTTATAAGGTAATTTAATTAACAACTCCCTTAATGTGTTACAGACAAAATTAAAATTGAGGCTCGACATTTCCAATGAATATTTCTTTCATTCTTTATTATAATATTTATACTTCAACACATTCTTCATATGTCTATGAAGGATTTGTTGACAACAGACAACTCCTATTTCCAACCAGCATCAGCTACAACAGGGGTGTTCAACTGCCAGTTCATAGGTCAAATGTGGCTTGTAGAGGCATGGCATTTGGCTAGCAGGGCTCCCCACAGGTTGGGAAATTTAGTGGTAGGGAAGCAGTAGCAATTAATACCACCATCCTCTCCTGCTTCCAAATTCTTAAGCCCTGCCTAGTGGGTTGGAGCCAGGCCATGCCCCCTTCCACCACCATGACCTGATTGGGGCCAAGCCACATCACCTTTCCCTGCGTGGCTGTTTCAGTGTTGGGCCACTCCCGAAACTCCCCCCCAGGCTGGGTTGGGGCCAATTCAAAATCCCTTCTCCTGCACGGCTGGATCGGGGCCAGGCTGCACCCACCCGCCTCTACACAGCAAGATGGGACCCCTGCCATGCTTGCCGTGAGTCCTGAATCAGGCCCACCAGCCAGAATCTGCCCATGGATGGACTAGGCACTGCTCATATGTCCCACTGAAAACCACTGAGCTGCGTTATCAAACTCTGTTTTATTCACGGTATTTATTTTTTCATCCAAGTCAAAATTTTTTTCCATATGACAGGACAGAATAATTATGTTATCTTGGGATGTTAAATATTTCCTTTTTTCTTGTGAATATACCTGGGTGAAGTTGAAAGGAAACTGCTTTTAAATTGTTCGGGAAGAGGTTAAAAATATACAGGAGAATTCACCCTCCCATATATTCCTACTACTGCCAAATTAATCAGAGGAACAGGATTAATCAGAGGAACATACTTAATGAGCCTGATCAGGAAAAAAAAAAAAAAAAAAAAATGTGCTCTCTCCTTTGGTAAGATAAAGTTGCAAAAAAAATTGAATTCAGTTTATAACAGAGAGACTCTTTGATTTGACAAAATACGAGACGCTCTGGAATATGTTTGAATAATGACACTCTTGCTTTCTAGAACAAATTGTATTTTGATATCCGTAATACTATATTACTGACAAAGATTTTTTTTCCTCATGTATATTTATGAGTAGTGTCACTAGGAAAATGTTATTATGTAAATCTTGCTTTTTCTCTCATGTAGCTTATTATGGCTTCAAATGAAGACACAAAATATGATGCCTGCTTGTATTCAAGTGTTAGCATTATTTTCCATTTTTCCACAAAAAAATTTCTATTTTTATTTATATTCTTATAATTCACTGTAAATTTATATTTACATATAATGGGACAAACTGCATCTTTGTTTTTATACTCAGAAATGGAACTATAATTTATATTGCTTTATATACTCAAATAAAATGCAGATGGGTGAGAAAGATTTCTTCAATTTAGTACAAAAAACTATTTTATGTATATTATAAAAGAATTTCCCCAATTGAAGATAATCATCCTTAATCCAAATTGTATGGGTTTCTGCTATTTATTTGGTATTCTGTCATCTAGCGCACACAAAAAATTGAAATCAATTTTTTTTTTTTTAAGTATTTCCTATCCATCTTTACGACTTATTTTGCAATTCTAAAGCAAGACGTCGGATATGTTTAGACATAATTTTGTGCTTGGTTACAACAAGTCGGAGAGACTCCCAGGTTTGTATCTACAGTTTTCAACAAAAAACATTCTCTAGCCAGATGCTATTTATTCAAGTACAAGATTTTAAGAACATGTTTTTGCATTTCGAATACCTACTAGTAGATTTAAAAAGATCCTTCGCAAAATCTTTTCAGTCTTTCCAAGGAAATGTAAAGCAAGCATTACCAGTCCCATAGTCATGCAAATATAGCTGCAAACATCAAACACTGTATCTTTGTCTTTTCTAGGATTTCTAATTAATTTCTCTTTTCTTTTTAAAAAGGTATTAGATATTTTACAGTAGTTTTGAAAGGTACTGTACTTAGGCTAGCTGCTACTGGTGCTGAAAAGTTGAATTTTGCAAGACTTAATTTGTTGTTTAAGTAAAAAAAACAACAACCATTTAAGTGTCAAAGAGTTCATTCAGGGTGTGAATAGATGTCACATTTAAAAAGTTTTAAACACTTCAAAGGGTGAATCAGACAGACATGCATGCCCTTCAAAATGCTCCAAAAGCAGCTGATCCTCTGTAAAACTGATGGAATGAGGTAACATTTAGTAGTGCACTGCTTTTTGTTACATATGGCCGCTCGATGGAGCAGAAAGGGGAACCCCATCCTGAACCCGCAGAGAAGGGACCCCACATCCCTCCCAGAGGGCATGAAAACAGATGAAGAGAGGTACATGGGGAATAAGGGATGGAAAGTAGAAAACCCAGATTGGAGTGAGGGCTGGGGAAATGATGGGACAGGTTTCCTGGCGATGGGTCAATAGAGCCACACTGGCAGCCTGCTCCACTCCCCAATACAACCATGCGTGCGTGTGCGCATACACACATATGTGCATGCATCTGCAACTTCAAAGCATTTCAAATATTATGTCTGCACCCTCACCATTGTGAGGGTGCAGCTTTGTGATGAACCAAAACTATTGGAACTAATTATATTAATAAGAATACCTCAAATGAAAATCTCAGGCCATTCTGCAACAAATCAAAACAAGCCCAAAATATTTTCTAAATGATAAAGTGTTAAAAAAGGGACAAAAACTTGGACAGAAAAATCAAGAGCTGTAACAGTTTAAATTATAATAAATATGTGCCTATAAGTGACAATAACTGTCACATTGAAATGGACTTCTGAAAAAGAGGAAGTTTCATTTATGCATTTGAAAACTGCAACCATTCACTGATGTAATTTGGTGAAAAAAATTAAATTAAGTCTGAAGGAATACTAGTATTAGCCTGTCTTTAAAAAAAAAAAAAAAAGAGGGCTGCTCATGTGTCCCTTTTCCAGGTAGAAACACTGCCTCCTTGTTCAAGCATGTTAAGCAAAGGAAAAAGCTCAGTAGAGTAAGATCATGTAATCAATAGTAACTGAACAGAAGAAACTTCTGCTTCAAAGAGCAACATCCTAAAGAATGTTAGGCAGAGGAAGAAGAAAAGAGAAGGGGAGAAGGAAGAAGGGAAAAAAGAGATGCTTAATAATTCTTCCCCCATCACTGGAGAAACATTGAAAACCTGTGCCATCTAGTTATAAAAGCGTTGAAAAATAATTATGTAAGTTTTTGTAAAGGTTAGGTTTCAGATAAATGGTAGCTACTCACTTAGATAAAATCAAACTTTTTTCTTCCTAAGCATCACTTTTCCCCTCTCACACACAAATACAATATATATAGTGGGATTTTGTTTGATGTGCATTTTTACAGCTTTAAGGATGTAACTCCCCACTGCTCAGAAATCTCTTGAAATATGGAGTATATCTACTATTCTTAATTTCCTACACTGCATTGGTTAGCAGTGTTAACTGCTGTATTTCAGTAACAGATAATGTTATACACAATTTTCTAACCTCTCAAACAGGGGTTTTGTGAGGTTTTGTGAGGGTTCATTTTAGTAAAGTGCTTTGCAAGAAACTGCTATTGCAATGCAGCATGGTTTTAGGTCAAAATATTCAACTATGATTTTGAATCTTTTTTTTTATATATCTATATCTTGATGAATTTTGAACATACTAAATTATATATTACTATAAAAATGCTGAAAAGCACAGCATAAAGTTCAACAAACCATTTTTGTTGCTGATAAAGGGATAATTAATTACTGATAAAACTTTGTCATAGTCCATATAACTTTCCTCCACCTAAAAAAACCCCCATACCTGTTAATTTCAGATGTACACATGCCTAAAATTAGAGACTGCATCATAAATTTACTTCAAGTTTTCTGGCAAATTCATCAGATACAAATTGTTTATGTATACTTATATAAGACCATTTGGTAGGTAAATGTATTAACTAATAGCTAATTAAATTTAATCTTACTGTAAGGCTGTTTACCAAATATTTTTTTTTCATATTCTAATACAATCTCTTACAAAAACAAAATTCTTAAGAACATATGTCTCAATTTCTAAAAGCAGGCTTTTTTTTTTAGAGAGAAAGGAAGAGAAAGAGAGAGAGAAACTACATATGTTAAAATGTTACTACTGTTCAACATACACAAGTTAATTAGATATTCCACTTACTCTTTGTAAGTTCCTGTTTCAGGATCTTCAGTCATAACATCATGTAGCCCTTCCACTGAGACATTAATGATACCACAAAATTTATCTTGAACAACGCTGGAAAAGAACAGGAAAATGACTTAGCTAACCAGGAAATCTGCTTGATAATTATAGGGCATATCTATAATGTTTTCATTATTAAATGTTTAGTTGAACACATTGCCAAGTACTTTTTCAAAACGCTTATATAAAAAATTCACAAATAGCCAAGAGGCAACAGTTAAAAACAATTGACTAAATATATTCTAGAGGCACATTAACTGGAAATGTACAGTTTACAATTAAAAAAAAATGAAACAATGCGATGCCATCTGCAAATATACATACAACTTATTAGGCACCTGCAAAACTTAATGAAAGTTACTAAATTAACATGATGCATCTGTTACTGCCATAAGTAAAATATGCACAGTGTTTCTCAGAGAGGATGCTAGGTCACTCACTCCTGATATTGGTATTTCTTGCTTTTTCTTAGCATTTCAAAACTTTAAATCTGGGACAAAGTTGAGCACATACACATCTATTGGCTTTTGAAAGACGGTTATTCATTAAAATCCTGAATAAGGACTTGTGAACAATTTACAGCTACCACTAAAATGCTCTTATTAAAAAAAATACCACTATTACTTAAATTTACCATTTTTAAAATCAGATGTTTGAGCACCTACTATTTGAAGAAATTACATTTAGGCAAAAATTACTGCAAATCTCTATGTTACTAGGGAATACCCTACCAGTAAAGCACTGGCTTATTTTAAAATTAATTAATAGGGGCCAACAGTGAGCAAGTCTGACCTCTGCTATAACATGAGCTATGATCCTTCATCCATCAGATCCTTTAGAAAGGCATCAATCCTGATTTAAAGTCTGCAAGTGGCAGAGTATTTAGAACATCCCAATAGTTGATTATTGTATTTAAAAAGTGGCTTATATCTAGAATAAGCATACCCAGTTTCAATTTCCAGCCATTGCATTTCTTATGCCTTTGTCTGTTTGATTGAAAGAGCCCTCTATTATCATTTTAACTGAATTAGAGCTTGTAAAGATGCTACTACTGGGAACAACACATCACAGCATTTCGTTTTGAGGAAACAGAAAACTGTCTTTCAGTATGCACAGTGAAATGGTAATGGCTGTGACTCCATTTATTAGAAGACCTATTGTATCCCCTCAATCTCATCCCTTTCCTTTTCTGGTGAAGGGAATGACAAAGAAGCAAGTAATTCTTTACGACATATCTACATAGATATCTATCTAGCTAGTGATATATCTATAATCAATATATAGATATATCACTATGTATAGATATAGATATATCAATAGATAGATATAACTATATCTATATATAGAGATACAGATACATCTATATATATAGATATATATATAGATCTATCTAGCTAGCTAGCTATGGATAGATATATAGATGCAGATAGTATATTGTTTGCTTAGCTTTAAACCAGGGCACTAAAAAGTCCATGGGCTCTCCTGGATCATCCAACTTCTGCATAAGCTGGTTCAGCAACACAGGATGTGCATGTTTTTTTCTGTTTTGTTACTTATATCAAAGTTGTCATTCTAATCGAGCACTGGATAGCAATGCAGCAAGCAAGATGACTCACATTTATTACATTTTCTCTCTCGGCCTCTTCTGAGGGGAGAAAATGTGTGAAGTGTGATGTTTGTTTTGCGCATCTATATACTACAATGTGTTTGTGTTAAAGAAGACAAGGTTTTCAAAATGTGTCATGCACTTGAAGCAGACAGTGGTGAGGTTTGGGGTGTCCCTGATTTCTTGGAGAAGCTTAGTTAAAATTTTAGTTTAGTCTCCTGCACAAAATTTCATTGTATTTGGAGAATTAAATTGTGAACTACAATCTTCATCCCAGAGACACACCATCAATGTTTTAGATAACCAGGTCCCAATATTACACACACTTTCATACCTACTTAATGTTAAATGTACAAATATACTCTTGCTGAAGGTAGTGGGAATGCTTAAATAGATGCTTAAAATATACTTAATACTTAAATAGATGCTTAAGGCTTGCATTTGCAGATATCAGACCTTAAACTTTAGGGGAGAGCTTCCCTCCCCCACCCACACACTCTTAAGGCAAGTAGAAAAATTCTGATCTGGAAGTTGGTCAGTAATACTAAATCACTCTTTTTGTGCACAAATACTTTGCTTTTTATAAACCATACCAAATAGATAAGGTCATGTTAATAATAAAAAAATATCTATTATTCTCAGTTACTCTGGACCAGAACTATGGCTGCATGAGATGAATCTATGATATGGATCCACAGAAATCATGCAGCTTATAGTCAGAGAAATAAAGAAGTTTTGGGGGAAAGAAAGGTTCCCCAGTGATACTTGGAAGGAGATGTTTCCTACAGCCTGAGCACGTTGGATGGTTTCACTGAGGATTTCCCTTCTGGAATAGCTGTTAGATGCTGGAGCACAAGGCTATCCCTCTACATGCCATCCAAGCAAAATCATGTGCCTCTGTTACCTACATGGCAATTATTTTTCCCTGCTTACAAGTTTCATGAGCACTGGATTACTGCAGAGATTTTGGAATCTCTGGCCACATGCATACTAGCTCCCTCCCAGGACCACCCCTAAGAAACAAGCCCTGCCCACTTGCTGCTATTTGGAATACACACAAATGCAGTATTCAGAACGTGGCCTGAAGAACACGCCTGAGATTTGGAGGGGTCTTGAGGACATACCAGCACTACTCTCAGGTTTCTCAAGATAGAGTCTGAGAGCAGTGTTGGGGTGTGTACTCAAGACCTAAGTCATCCTCAAAGCATATCTGCCAGTATGGAATATACGTGGAGTGGGAGTGAGTGGTCAGGGATAAGCAAGAAGTTACTAGAGACACTGCCTGCAATGCTGTAGATCAAGGGTGCTTAAACTTTTTTTAGTCCAAGTATCCCCGGCAGGGGTGGCGCACAGCCAGACTGAGCAGAGAGGTGGGGACGGCATGTGGGTGGGCAGGGACAGAGCGCTGCTGCCTCCCAGGAGCAGGGCCAGGTAGCTCACCGAGCTGCTTTGTAGCAGCGACAGCTGCTGTGTGCAAGCTTCCCTGCTCCGCAAAGGTGCACCACTGCTCTCGCCCTGCTCTGTCCCCCCCACCCACGGATGCCCCCTATGACCAGTCCAAGTACCCCCAGGGATACGCATAACCCTGGCTGACAGCTCCTGCTGTAGAGGACTGGGCTCCAGAAGAGCACAGCTCTGCAGGACAGAAAACCAGAAGTGATATGCCTCTTCAGGAGCTGCTTCAGTTAATTACCTGAAGTGGGCTAGAGTACAAACGGTCTTGGAGAGAGCTTTTATTCACATTTTTTATAGGATTTACAGATAAATAGCAAGAGCTCATAGTCATGCCTACCCTACCTTAGCACTCTGAGCTTTAAAATATCTGTGATTTTTTTAAATGAGCAAAGAATATCGACTGCTGGGAATCTGAGACGTCCGCTGGAAGATAAAATGTAGGAGTGGTTTATAGATCTGTAATAATATTATTTAGTCAGAGGTGCTCTCTAAAAGAAGCATGAAGACAACAAATCTTCTATTTCCTGAAGGTGATATTTCTATGTCACTTTATATAAAATAGAAATAATAGTTTTTCTTTGCTTTATAGTTAAAAAAAATTGTTGGCAGAAAGATTTAAATGTGTAGGAAACTGCTGAGTTGAAAAATCAAGGAATGCAAAAGACTCTAACAAAACAGGATGAATATTAACTGTAGTCTTCAGGAAAGGCAATGTGAACCTTTCACCTGTCCATTAAATGGAACAAGCTGCTTCTTCAAAGGCTTAGCCAGCAACTATGGAATCATTATGCAAGGTAACTCTTTTAATGCAAAACACATCTAAAAAAAATCCTAAGTCAATACAGTCTCACCAGGATTTGACAAATAACCCTAGATAAACGTTCAATGATAACATAAAAGGGATTATGTTTTATTCTTACTGGACTGAATAAGGAAACAACTTATAAATCAAGGTAATAATATAAAGGATCTCTAGAATTAGCCAGGACTTGTTTCAAGAAAGATACTGGTAAATCAAAGTGTTAGCCACATTAAAGACAGGGACTCTGTGTTCAAATTAACATTTCTTTCAAAATTAATTAATTACCATTATCTGTTTTAGAGTATACATTTGACACAGCAAAAAGTCATTTTTGTTTCATTTGGTTCTATTTCAGCCAATACAAATTATTTTTCTTATCAGGTGATGCTCTCATTACTCTTGCATCTCCCCAGTTTGTCACAGTAAAAATGCTGTGTGTTTTTCACTGAGAAAAGACAGGTCCAAACATTGAAGATTTATGACTCCTGTCAGGAAGAGCAGTAGGACCAAACCCTAATACTGTGATTGATAGTATAAATGATATTACTGGTGGAGGGCCTTATATACCGTCTGCACGAGAAACATACTCCATCTAAAATGACACCAAAATATGACCTGCCTACTGGGGGACTGATTATTTCCGTAGCTCTTATTTTAATGATCACTTCCTTTTGTAGAATAAAAACAAAGTTGATGTCAAATGAGGTGGATTCCAGGAAAAAAAAACTATATAGCTTTTCCCTTTCACTCCAATCAACTAAGATACACATTTAACATTTTCATTCTTCCAAAAAGTATTTGTGCAAAAATTCAGCTTCAACATTGTAATTGTATATCCATTAACTGGGCACAAATGCACAAGACACTGACTATGCAGTAGCCTGATACTATTGCACAGTAGTGTTATATGGCAAAAACTGTGCCAAGATGCTACTATGCAGTAGTATTAGCCTACTGCACAGTAGCATCACTGCAGACAACTTGACTCTACCCACAGGCACTAGAATTGAATACTTTCAGGGTTGAATGATGGATTTGAAGCAATGAATTCAAAAAAGGACAAATACAGATCAAGAGCTTTTCGAGATATGGGATCCAAATCCAAAGGATAGGAGCCTCTGGTTGTTCTCTACCCTTTGAAAATTCCCTTTGCAATGGGCAGATCTTCCTTCGGCATAGTGATCAGAATCT